CGCCATACGGTGGTTAGGCTCGGGACTTATTGACCGATGTGTTATTTTAGTGGATTTAGATAATTTATCGTCTATTTCAAACTCATTGAATGAATTTTTCTGAAAAAAATGAGTTTGTCGGTGTTTTTTCTATGACTGAAGAACCGGTCAAAGAGGCAATACGATTTGTGTGAATTTTCGACTATTTGGCCACTTATTCCAATGAAAATTACGTGAAAATAAATGTTTGCATTGAGAATTCATCTCTGGCAGTGAGATTGAATCGAAAAAAGTGGAAAATATCAGATTAGTTTCAGCGAATAGTGATATAACCTCAAAATTCGACGAACATTTGTTTTGCTTGTGGGAAGTGGCATTTTGGACTGATTCCGAACAAAAATATATGAAATCGATTCCAAATTCTCTGCTCTATCAAACTAAAACTACCATTTTCTGTTTATTTAATACCGAAAACACCCTAATGCGCAACGTGCTCAGCTTCGAATTTATCTCTGCGGTTGGTTCATTATTCGTGAATAAAAATCGACGAATGTAACGGGCACCGAGGAAACGTAATACCGTATTGTATAATGATGAAAGTGAAAAAGCGATGTATATATGTATCGTTTTCCATAACGCACACGGCAACCACCGCATCTATTCTGAGACTAGAACAACACGCGCAAGCCAAACAGATATGGAAATGGTGTTATTTTGCACATGCTCGCTCGCCTATGACTTGTCCGAGCTATGTTTACGATTGACGTTTGTACGTTCGAATTGACTGTGCAACAGTGTTTCTTTCAACGTTCAACATGTGAAACGTGATACTAATGCGTGTGTAAAAACTCATTATTACTAACCTTTAGTTCTCTCTATATCGCATTTCACTTTGGTCGATCATTTGCAAAAAAAAGAAATAATAACACCACGAACCTGAAGCCAGTTACCTCAATTACGCTCCTTATGTTTATGTAACAATTCTTCAAATGCGGCGGCGAATGCGAGAGAGAAAATGTACCACTGTAACAAATCGAATGTACATGAAAGGCTTCAAACTCATTCATCGCCGTGCATCAATTTGAACATTTTTAAGTCGGTTGTTTGTTTTTGACTTAGTTTCGACTTCAATAGCATCACAATGTGATGTGCGCATTCAGCCACTACAAATTGCTCTTCAAGTGAAAGAGATGCGCCGAAGTGTTGCATTTCAATCATTTTTGCGCGATTAGACACGATTTTAGCGATGGATATTTTGTGCACGTGCCCAAAAGACACAGATTCTAAATCGATGCTCACACGAACTGAAAATGATGGCTTGGATTCAATGTTGATTTAAACGCTTGTGGATTAGTAACCCAATGAAGGCAGCATGATTGATGCAAAAAGGAAATGAATCTATTCATAATTCATTCACTTTCATTATTAATCCATTGAAACTGATGCCTTATTTTTCTCTCTCGCAAAAAGTATAACAGATAAATTAAGCGATGGCATCAAAAATTCACTGAATTCAGTTCAATTGTTGGTTTCTATTTCATTTTTCATTCGATCTTGATTTGGAAAACTACAAAAAAAACTGCATACAATTTCAGACATTCGACTTTTAGGCGCATGAATTCGTTTCCATAATTCCAGCACATATAGAGAGAGAGAGAGATCATTTCATCACATGGAAATTTTCTCAAGAAAATTATTTAGTTCAGCATTGTTTTCGCTCTCGGCTGCTTTTTCTCTGTGTTTCGTGTTTATTTCTTTCGTCTTTTGTTTTGTCGACAGTCGGCACGAAATGAGAGCCGAGCCACTGTTGCTATTGCTGTTATTGTGCGATGGAAAAGAGCACACTCGACAATTGATAGAGTTATTATGTCATTTTCAGTGGTGACCAAATGAACCAAACCGAGCGCAGCTCAAAAACGAATCGTGAGAATTTTTCAACTACTTTTGTCTCCATGAATAAAGAAAACGATTTGCCAGAGCATATGAATGTGATTTTATGTCTAGTTGTTTTTCAAGCTGATTTCGTTTACATCGGAAAAAATTTCGATTAAAACGATTGCACTTAGGGTTATATTATCTTTGTTTTTCGTTAGCGAAAAAAAATATCATTAGTTCAGCTTCTTTGCAATGAAAAATTGCTCATGGCAAATTACATGTTAGTTGGAGTACATGGTTTTATGTTATTTGTTTTGGCTGCGCCCAAGAGAATTTGATTTGAAATTAACACATCATTACAAATTACGTACCGTATGTGTGTACGCACGTCTGACGAGTTGATTGTATCTGTGTTTTTTTTTTGAACAAAAATTTACATCTCGGGTATTTGCACGCACAGTTACTAGACGAAAATAAGCAAATGGTACCGCATTCCAAGAAAATGAAATGAAAAATAGCTTAAAACAGAGTTTGGGGAATCCAATCGAAGGCGGAGGCGTTTCATTGCACAGTCCACTTTTTAATTGCAACTTCATTACTCGCCACTTAAAAATACTTCATTGTTTCTCTCTCTCCCTCTCACTCTCCCTTCGTAGTTTCTTTTTAATCACACGAATGGAAATGAAATTTTACAAAATTAAATTGTGCTGCAAAAAATTATCTAAATATGGTTAAAGCAGCGGAACTGTGGGGAATTGAAACCGACTGCGCCGTGTACTTTCTATCAATCAAAAAAGAGATCGGCTTTATTCAAAAGATAACGTTTTTGGATGAATTTGTTAGGGAACCCGTTCACGTTTTGAGGTTTTTTCCCCTCTTCTTCTTCTTTTTCTGTCTTAATCCCGCGGTAGGTTTGATCGCGACTCGCTACTGTAATTAGTTCATTCAACTGATGTTTATCTTGTGATCGCTGTTATGCCTTAATGTTCTGCCACACAAAATTAATTGGTTATCAAGCCGTTGCGTCACATCATTGACATAATTTGCAATTCAGTTACGTGATTATGGTTTAACAGTATGATAAAACAGAATGCCGCGAGTGAGAATTAAGAAATTCATTTCAAATTGAAAGGAAGTGTTTGTTTAGCTTCGATATGCAACATATCATGACACAATCGATTGTTTTGTTGTTTGATGCGAACGCATCACCCGTTTTACTGGTTTGTTGATTCGACATCGAGAATCGAATGAGAATATAAACATGGTGTATAGCCAAACCATGTCAGTATTCGTCAATATTTTGAAGATATTCGAACCTTAGGTTTGTGCACAAGACTCTTGATTTACGATGAATTCGATTTGTTTGTTTGTTTTAGTGGGTGGAGTGCTGTTCGCATCAGTTTCGGTGAGATAAAATATTTAGTTGTTTTCGAGAATAACAAGCAACCGACCAAGCAACCAAATCAATTTATGTTAAAATTCTATTTTCCAAAGGCAAGTGAAGAGCTGGGAAAAGCGATTAAAATCTGTCGCCAACAATTCCCAGAGAGTGACACACGAGCAACGCCAGACACCGATTTCATCCGATTGTCCAAGAGCGACGAATGCTATTTGCACTGCATTTTAAGTGCACAGAAAGTGGTATTTAATCATTCAGTTTGCTTGCGTTACACTTGAAATTCAATTTATACACAGCAAATGAATCATTTCATCAAAAATGAACGTTCATTCTCCGTAGATTTTGCACGGTGCTCTTAATGCAGATTCATTGCAGTATGCGTCAAACAACGATGTGACGACGAAAATTAAAACGCAGTGCGGAACGATACGTGATGAAGACGAGTGTGAATTTGCGGCCAAAGTGCAAAAGTGTATTCAGAATGTGCTGAAAACGACACCAGTCGTATGAACGTCACAAACCTTGTTGTTTAAATATTCAAAATAACCACAGGTCGTGCTATTTAAGTTTTCTTGTTTAGTATTGAGCCTAATCAATATACGTCAATGAATTCGAATTATTAACAAATAAAAATGCGATGAACTGGTTTAAGTCGAAACATTTATTTTGATCGGCATGAATCGATCGGAGACGTATTTTTCGGATTATTTCATCTTGAGTTGGATTGATTCTCGTGAACAGCAACAATTGAAGCGTGCTTAAAAAAGACGAATTGACGAAAAAAAAGAAGCGAAACAAAACAAAAGGTCGAATTCGACAAACAAAACATTTCTTTTCAAGGTGAAGAGTATCAACCCAATCAAATTATATTCAATCGGATATTTTTGTAACCGAGTCTCTTATTTTTCCAAATTAGCAGTGGAATATTTGTACTGAAACGAGAATGGAAGTGAAAACGATTCGCAAATATGATGTGGGTCATTTCTTACTGTTTTCTCTTCGATTTCTTTTCTCGTTTCTATTGCGTCTCTTTCGTTTTGTTTGATCTCATTGTTTACAACTTCATTTCGTCAATGAACACTTGTGCTTCAGACAAATTGGCTATGTTATAGTTGAATTAATGAAATTCATTAGTTATGGTTGTTTAATGAAGCGAGAAAGATATCAAAGTAATTCAATTAACGAAACGAAAATGAAAGTGACTATCATCATTGGCGTCATGTTATTTGCCATTGTTTCAATGGGATGCCTTCTTTGACCGAGTGAAGTGGAGCTCATAAGCTAGTTGATAATAGTTCTGCGAACTTCTAACTGCGTAGCTGACTACTCTCTAGGGGAAATGGGTTATACGAAATTGAGAAGATCATGATGTAATATTGAATGAGAAAGATAAATTCTCACTTAAAAGCATTCCGACCAATCTTAGAAGTCGGACTTGCAATGACAGATTCTTCTGTATTCCAAACTGACCGCTGCGAGTATGTGCTTTGAATACTTTAAACTCGTATACAATCAAAGAAGAATTCATGATATTTCGTGATTGCACTCAATCCATAAACTGAACTTGTTCTGAGTATTAAATGTTTATTTGACTAATTTAGACTCAGATTGAGAGCGGTCCGTTAACTATTATCATTTTCTACAAGTTGAAAGTTGAAGTTAAATGATGAATTGATGGTTCTTTTTATTAAAATGCAAATATTTTGAAAGGAAATTTCCTTGTTAAATGCCAATTTTTATGGCAGCTTGAACACTTTTGTCGAAGAATCATAAATTTTAATCAAGTCGTGGTTATAAAATTGAAATTGAGTTGTTTCCTCTATCATTAAAAAATCTGTTTCGGGAGTGGAGAATCGATAAAACCTTTTTATCCAATTTATAGTTCTTTTATTGGTTTAACTTATATTTGACTTCTATGCTTTGTCAGAAATACAGATGCTGAAACGGATCCAGCTTTAGTATTCATAGATGATTTGCTGCACTATCACTAAGAAATATACTTAAATTCCAATTGTTGGCTAGACATTCATTTTTTGTAGCAAGCAAAAAATTAAGGGATATATCTATGCGTGAGATTGAGAGTAGTGTGTGTTTTTTTCGGATTTATATTTTTAATATAATACTCTTCGTCGAATGAACTTGATATTTTTAACCATTAATGCAAACATACACTACTTTTTCAAAAACCAATATGTTAAATTGAAGTATTGGGAGCCGCCAAATGTAAAAACGATTAGTTCTATTGATTATGTTTGCCTAATACTTAAATTCAAATAAATTAATAATATTCACCAATTCATAACAACATACTCGCCTTTTCCAACAACCAAAGTCGGAAAAACATACTCTTGTTTATTGGTATTCTAAACTAACAAAATACATACTCTTGTTTAACGCAAATTAAGGTTTATGAAACATACTCGCCTTTATCATAGCCAAAAGCAGTCAAAATACTTACTCTACTTTAACTATTTTCAAGTCAAAAGAAACTTATTCTTCTCTATCGTAACAAAGTCAATGAAACATACACTACTCTCAATCTCACCCATAGATATATAAATCACAAGCAATAACTTTTGTTTTGAAGTTTTTGCTAGTCGAACCAATTGGCTCTTTCAATTCAAAAGTTTGTGATGCTGGTTGGATATTTCGCAAATTAAGAAATAAATCAAAATTGATATTTTTCAGTGTCTGTTAGTTTAAACGATGGAATTTAACAAAAATATCATGTGTCACCGAAATTGGATGGGGTATTGACCAGAGCGGTCAACGAGCGCTCGTTCGTTCGTTCGTATGCGAACATGTTCGTTTGTTCGTTCGTTCGTTCGTAGAATTTACGAACATGTTCGTTCGTTCGTTCGTTCGTTCGTAGAATCTACGAACATGTTCGTTTGTTCGTTCGTTCGTTCGTAGAATTTACGGACATGTTCGTTTGTTCGTTCGTTCGTTCGTAGAATCTAATTACCCTTAAGTACGTACTTAACATACTTGAGTTTAATTACGTGATTTGAGACGTACTTAAACTCCCTTAAGTACTTACTTAGCATACTTGTTAACATACGTACTTAAGCCTCGTATTTAAGCTTAAGTATGTTAGGTACATACTTAAGTATGTTAAGTACAGTAGTGTATAGTAAGTACGTACTTAAGGGTAATTAAATTCTACGAACGAACGAACGAACAAACGAACATGTTCGTAGATTCTA